GTAACTTAGTTTAACTTCCTGAACAGCAACCCAGCATAGTATACCGGGGTCCATATCGGGCGCCGCCTATTTACGGAAACTACCAACTCTGCCGCCAAGCCTACCCTAAACCCTGAACCCTAAAGCCAACTGCATCGCCTGAAGCCCTAAGCCAAGAGTCGGTTAGCTCCCGAACTCGCAACTTCCCGGGGAGTTGATGGAGGTTGGGGTGTGGAGTTTAGGGCTTAGTCCAGACCTAGCATTCCCTTAGTAACTCCTATAATACTCCCCTATATACACCCCCTGTAAAGACTTTACAGAGTCTAGACTATACATCATGTCATAAGCAGCCAGTGAGCATCCAAGCTGAAGTGCTTCAAGCAGGCATCCACCCACTTGGGGATACCTAGGTTTCAGGGGTAGTTTCCATACATACGAGGACCCGAACATAGACCCCAGTAAAACACAATCCTTACTATGCCCCCCCAAAAAATGGCACCGCCATTTTTGGCGACCCCTAACCCTAAACCCTGAACCTAAAGCCCAACCCTAAACCCTAAGGCAATTCCTCTCCTGCCTGCCCCTCAACCTGGTGATTGTGGCTACTAGTCACAATGCGTTGAAGGCCTGCGTGCGCATTGTGCTCCAAGTAGCGTTCCTCTCATGCTAGGGTTTACAGAAGAGGGTGTAATGTGGTGTTATATAAGACTGTATGGGGCTTAGCGCAAGATAGAGCTGCAGAGCATCAAATGGAAAATCTACAAAGAAATGGAGACTGGGATTAGAATGCATAGGAGCCTACAGCGATTCTGGAATGTAGGAGCCCCTAAACCCTAAAACCGACCGTAAGCCCTAAATAGTAGTTTCCATTTTATGTTCCATTATCCCAAGAAAACCCCAATATCCAACATCATGTTGGAGGTCTACTTACAACTACATAACAGGTCCCTGCATCTACTACCAGGTACCTCGAGGTTGGTATAAGGTAGGCTCAAGTGCGGTTTAGGGTTTTAGGGTTTTAGGGTTTACGGTTTACGGTTAGGGTTAGGTCTGTACGTCTGCCAATGGTTTACGTGGAGTTTGAGTGTAATTTTACCCCAGCCATGAAAATTATACAGGGCTTATGTAGGGTTACATAGGGTTCATGTAGGAATTGAAGCGATGATAACCCGTTATGATTATAGCTATAGCCAAAATACAAGGCCCCAAAGTCCCTGAAGTTGCTTGATGCTAGGTTATGAATACCAGAACCTCCTAGTAAACAAGAAGGCAGTTGGATTTCAAGACTTCAAAGCGAGTTTCCTGGGCTCCCAACACATCATAAACTCCCCATGTCCTAGGAACCCGACTACGAGGCGAAACCAGCTGTACTCAGCCGTGGAAAAGCTTACACAGATTC